CAAACAGGGCCTTTTATGGAAAGCAAGCGAAAACGAAATTTGCTTTGTATAAGACGCTGATACTTCCGGTAGCCCTCTGCGGTCATGAATCGTGGACGTTAAAGGAGACTGACCCGAGAGCATTTGGTGTCTTCGAAGTTCTGAAAATTTGCGAGAGCTTCCCAGAAATTCTGAGAAGATCTCAGAAGTTCACAGAACTTTTCAGTAATTCCGAGATCTGTTCAGAAATTCTGAAGAGCTTGCAAAAGTTCCGAGCAATCATCACAAATTTCTAGAATTTCCTAGAAGATCCGAAAACTTTCCAGAAATTAAAAAAAAAATCCTACTGTGTTACTTGACTCATATACATGCCCGTGACTCGAATACAACGTATATCTCGTCTAATTTAACGTAGCATTTGCAATGCAAAATTAGACTAGTTCATACAACATAAACTCCCGATCATAAGTTTGGAGTCACCCTTTAAAAAAATGCAAATCTTTTTTGCTGATATCTCTCCCATTTGAGGACCGATTTTCGATCTTTAGGTCATTTGAAAGATATTCACTAAAAGTTCGTAGGTAACTGTTTTACTGTATTATACAATGTATACTAAAACTTCTCCTATATTTACAACATTATCCAAAATTCACACTAAATATTCATGTTTGATTTTATCAGCATTGGGTCGATCAAAGTTTGAAATCAAAGTGGTAGTAGAGTCCTTATTCTATATCCATCGAGATTTTAGAATATGCTTTAAATCAATCATATAGTTATTAAAGTAATCGATCAAAATTTTGGGGTCAATTTGAATTTTAGTATAAATTTATGAACAAATATGATGAGCCACATAGCAACGAAGTAAGATCCATTCATTGCAAAGAGAACTAAAATTGGGGGAATTCGGCCGACCCAATTCTGAAACAATCAGTCAGTGTGAATTCTGGAAAATATTAAAACTTTAAGAGAAGTTTTAGTATACAAAAATTTTAAAATATACTTAAACAGTTAACTACAAACTAATATTTAAGTCAATACCTTTCAAATGACCTGTAAATATCGAATATCGGCCATAAAATGGTAGAGATATGAACAAAAAACATTTAGGGGAACTAGGGGGTCAAATGAACACCCTAAGCAATATCACCTTTTTCTCGTTTATAAACGAGATTATTTGGAACTGAATTTACCTATTTTTGACGTAATTACTCCAACCTGTTCATTTTACCTCCCAGTTCCCCTGCATATTTTTTAAAGGGTAACCTCAAACTTATGATCGGCCGTATATATTCGTTATGAGTCAGGTAAGACAGTAGATCGAGAATTTGCCAGAAAATCCAACAACCTCCCGAAAATTCTAACCACTTCCCAGATATTCTGAGAACATACCAGAAATGTCTACAACTTTCTAAAAATTTCGGAATTCTCAAAAATTGATCAAAAGTCCTGGGATTTCAGGGGAGGTCCAGGAGCTTCTAGGAAGTTTGCGGGATTTTTAGGTTGGCCATGAATATTCTGGGAAAATCTTATAACTTCTGAGAAGTACTCGGAACTTCTGGGAAAATCTAAAAAAAATTTGTCTGAATTACCAAGTATCTCATATTCTGGGTGGTTCCCGAAACTTCTGGGAAGTTCTTAGTTTCCCAGAAGATAAATTTCAAAATTTATGGGACATTCTTTGAATTATTGTAAAGCTCTTTGAACTTCTGAGAAGTTCTTGTGATTTCTAGAAAAAAATTAGTTCTCAGAATGTTTGGAAAGTTCTCTGAACTTCTGCGAAGTTCTTGGCATTTCTGTGAAATTCGCCGATCTTCTGGGAAGTCCTTGGAATATTTCGAAAATTCATGGAATTTCTGGGAAACTCAAGGCTAGCACTTCTAGGATGCTCTAGTGCACACGTCTTATAAGAATCTGTTGGCAGTTCTCGGAATTTTTGGAAAATCCTCAGAATTTTTAGGATTTAAGGATCTTCTGGGATATTCGCATATCTTCTAGGAGGTTCTCGGAAATTCTGGAAAGTGCTCGGTCCTGATGGGAAGTTTTCAAAATTTTGTGGGAAGTTCTCGCACCTTCTGGGGAAGTTCTAGGAGACTCTGGGAAGATCTCGAAATTTCTGCAATGTTCTTAAATATTCTTCTGAATATTCAAATCTCAAGTTCAAGTTCTCGAAAATTCTGGAAAGCTCAAAGAATGTATGGGAAGTACTTGGATCTTCTAGGAACATTTTAGAATTTCTCAGCAATTCTGAGATCAACTGGGAAATTCTCGGATTATTGTGGAAAGTTCTAGGAGTTCTCATAATGCTCCTGGAATTCAATTCACGATTCTTTTGGGGTTCTCCCCAGAACTACCTTGGATTTCTCGCAATTTCCTTAGAATTATCCTTAGGCTTCACAAGGAATCTGGAGGTTTTCTTGAAGCTCTCCGAATAACTGCATTTGAATACGCCATAGAATTAGATTGTTCCTATGATTCCCTTTATATGTGCGTCTAAAAATCCATTATAAATTCTTATCAAATTTCTTTTGATAAAGTCACGAATGAAGGTTCTTTCTTCAAGCAGACTTTGAAAATTTGCCAAGAGTTTTAACGTTTTTTTTTCTACGTAGGCTTATTTCTTTCGGCAACATATTGAGGGTGCAATTTCAAAAACCGAAATCAACCGCGCTACGAAAAGTGGTCAGGTTTTGACCACTTATAACTCTGTCAATAGCGGATGGGTGTTAGTTCTAAACAAGCCAATCGATTGGAAATTTTTCTAAGATTCTGCTAAAATGAACACTTTATAAATTTTCAATAGGTCACTATTGAAAATTACACAAATGTCCAACTGTTGCAATGGTGATCAACATTATCAACGATTGCCTGCAAAAAACGCTTTCCCTAACACAGATTTCAAAATCGAAGCTACCATTCCTTTTGGGAATTTACCTTATTAGAGAATTGTATAGATTTTTCTCCTTCACTTAACTAAAATCTTTGGTTATTAGTTAGCTAGGTTCCGCTTCTACACGTTGTAGTTTGATTTTATACCTAGGATTTTGACATTTTTACCTAGGGGATGAGTACTTAAAGGGGTCAAAGTCTTTAGTGGGAACGACACTGCACATTGTAGTCGAAATACGTATCTGTCATGGATAACACAATTAATTAAGTGGATAACCTTTTTGCTGATTCATTTAAACATTCCGCTAACAACCCAATTTCATTACTTCATCTAAATATTTTTAATTAAAAAAATCCAAGCTTGAATTCTTGTTTTTATCGAGGTCCTGGATCTCGAAAAAAAATTCTAACTTCTAAGGTTAGGGAGAGGTTCTCTTTATTAGGGAGGCTTTCAGCCTGGGGTTGGTTTGCCTCCATACTTCTTGGGTTGGGTTGTTTAAAAAATAAGTCTTGAATATTCATCTTAGTCCGAAATCTCGTCCTGATTTTAATAAATTTATGTCCAAATTTTCCAAAGTTTATCTTCCAAAATTCGACCAAATGACAATTCAGTACCGTTCATGAGCTTCAAAAAATTCTATGATGATGTAAGTCATCAATGTCAAAAATTTAACACATTATAAAAAGCTTTTGAGATCTACGACCTAGGCCTTGACCAGTTCTAGGACTTGAATAATTTGCTGTTATCTTAGGGGCTATCTATAAACCCCGCAGACAGCTTTAGAGAGATTTCGACACCCCATTTTGCGTTTTAAAAAATGTTTGAACTGCAGACACTTGTACCAACTTGTAAAATTTTCAAAATTCGTAATATTTGTTTTAAGAGGGAATAAGGGAGGTAGGTTATTGCCTCTCACTGCCAGCGTTGCCAGTTTTCTTCAACCCTCAACCATCAATGCTAGCGGGCAGTGAGGTTTAATGTGTATGTGGATTCACTCCCTTAGCTCAGTCGGTAAACGCGCAGCTACAAAGGACAACCATGTTGGACGTGACTGTTTTCGATTCCCGGTCGAATTTTTCGGGTTGGAAAATTTCTCGACTTCATAGGGGGGGGGGGGGGGTCATAGAGCATGATTATACTTGCTACACAATTATACTAATGCAAAAATGGTACAGGCATCGAAAACTCTCAGTTAATAACTGTGGAAGTGCATGTAGAACACTAAGTTGAGAGCACGCATTAAACTAATATGCGATAAGCAATAAGCTTGAAATGCGAAGAAGAAGATAAAAAATAAGAAGAAGAAGAAGGCGGATTCGAAAAAATTCTATCCATTACGATGAAGCAAAGATCCCATCTATCAAACGACTCTCGGGAAAACTGGCCATACCTGGGCAGGCATGGAAAATCATTTACATTCATTTCATACATTCATTTACATTCATTTGCCTCTAACTTTTTTCATCAACAGCATTCTGCAAAATGGTGTATAGAGCTTTTGTAGGTTTTGTTATTAGCTACAACTTTTGCTCATAAATCAAATCTGTATCTCTGTTATGCATCACGAACTAGAGCGGATAGAAATTGTTACTGTTTTTCAGTGAATGTAAAATACATTAACTGAAAAACAGTAGCGGCTTCTGTTCGCTCTGGTTTGTCATGCATCAGAGATACGGATTTGACTTGTTAACAAAAGTTGTAGCTGATAACAAAACCTACAAAAGCTCCATACATTATTTTGCGGAATGCTGTTGATGAAAAAAGTTAGAGGCAAATGAATGTAAATGAATGCACGAAATGAATGCAAATGATTTTCCATGCCTGTCCCTGGGCGAGTTTCCAATCATCGCTGCACGCTAAGATTAGTTTACCCAGATTGCGTTACGTGATTACCCAGATTGGTCGTAAAGTGCCAAACCAAAATATGGGTAAATTTATTAATTTAAATATTTGACACAAATTTACCCATCCATTTTTGGGTTACAAATTTACCCATATTTTGTTTTGTCCGCTTTACGCCCAATCTGGGTAAACTTAATCAACATATATGGCTTATCCGATCTTCGCATGTAAGAACATCCGTCGCAGATTACTTTTTTTTTCAAAACAAATAACATCTTCTCGCACTTACCTGTTCGATCCCGGTCAGATCGGTAAACCTATTCACTAGATAGCTAATCGACTTGCCGCTGCGCAGATCCCACTTGAGTCCGCTGAGCGCTGCCGCAATACTGGATGCCGCCACCGTGCTGGCAGTGTAATTGGAAAAATAATGTTCTGAAAAAGAAGAGAGAACGAAACAGGAAAAGATTAGTCACATGTCAGATGAGGAACTACTGCAGTTCTATCTCGCTAGTTGGAATGTGATTTTTTTTTCTATTTCAAGTGGCACCGAACTGTCAATCGTTTAAATTGTTCTCTATTTTCTATTGTCAACATCATCTTGTGGCCAAAATTCATAAGTGGTCCTTAAGGAATTCTGACGTTCTTTTGCCTCAGTGTATGTTTCCATGGAGATTCAGTGCTGCCAACTATTAGTATCTAATATTCAAACCAGCAAGATTTGACTGTAAAACGCAAAACGCCAAAACATAAACGATTCCAGTAGGGTTATGTATGGATTAATTAGGAAACCGAATCCCAGAGGAAATAATTGGCAGCGAAACGTGACCACCGACGAAAGCGAGCGAGCGAGCGTGCGAGGGGCGTCGTGGAAGGTGGCGGGGGGTTCGTCACTTATATTTACGATTTACGCTAAATAGTCGCGCACAAGGAAGCAAGGGATCCGCATCCGGTCTCTCCGCGCGGACTCTGACTCCGGACGCAAAACTTCAACTCGTATTTTTTTTTTCTTTCGGGTGGGTGAATCATGCTATGGAACTTGCCCGGGAACACAAAGACAAACTACAACAATATGCATGGCATCTTTTGATGAATGAAGTCTAAATTACTGGAGCGGATGTCGCGAAATGACACCCTCACCAAACGGCGACGATGCACTTGTGGCGGTCGTGTGCATTATCGTGCATTTTGTGTGTGATTTTTCTGTTATTCCCTGTTCTGCTCTCGTTGTTTTCGGTTCTTATCCGGTAATGATTGCCCTACTTGGCAGAGAAAGAGTGAAGGCGGAATCAAAAGGCAATAAATTTGCATCAAATTTATGCGAGTGGTGCAATTTTTTCCCACTCTTCTGCACTTGCCATCCGTCAGTCAGTCAGTCAAATTCGTCTCGGAGCGAAAATCCTAATTTTGGTGGGTTCATCAAAAGAGCGGCGCGGAATGTGCGTGGGATGATTTACGGCCAAGTTGGTGATTGGATTTCATCGAAAGTCAAACAAAAAGGTTGATACTGCGATCGTTGCCATGGTTACCAAGGCAACACACTGAAACGAAACCGTTCCAAATTAATCGAAATTTATCCACTCAGTCGGTCGGTCAGTCAGGCTATCGCTTTCAGACGATCTAAACTGCCACTTGTCACACACAGTAGCCAGATAAATTAGAAAGAATTCCCGAAAATTGACCGCCGGAAAACGGCCGCACAAATCACAAACATCTGTTTGTTTCGGCGAATTTCGCAAGTGTCACGTCTTCGCGCTGTTGCTTGCTGATCCCTCCGGAACAGAACCCGATATATGATGTGGGCCAATGAACTGATGGTGCGCCGCCCAGCGTTAACCCAGAGGGATAGAGAGAAGGCTGATCTCATCCCACCATTGATACCCGGTTTTTTAGCTCCAAAGGATCTGAGAACAATTCACCATTAGTTACGGAAGTACGCAGATATTCTCATTTATACAAAACTCGCAGGAGGAGTCGAAGGCGAAGAATTCGGTGCATTTGTTGTGTGTTTTGTTTTGCGGTCTTTTGACGAGAATCTGTGCAACATTGTTGCGACTCCCGAACATTAGTTCTTGTTCTCATCGGAGTCGCCGCCGTCAGACGTCGAAGAATCTTTTCTTATGTTTTTTTTTTCACCATTAAATGATGCATTTGTTTTCGTCTTTGACTGAATGGGGTTTGGAAGACTTTGATGTTTTGGAATCGATTTAACAAATGATCAACACGGTCGTGGAAATGCAAATTTTCGACGAAGTTCATGGAAATATTTCAAAGGTTTTTTGAAATGTCAAATTCGAAATATTTCGCATCCACCATACACCTTTTTGACGTTTAATCATCTTTCTCTATCTAGCACACAATGATGAATGGACGGTTTGTTTTCCCACTAATCTGTTTCCCTCTTGCTCGCACTCGTTCGCTTTAAATGGTAAAGTAGTGTGCGCCGATTAAACGTCAAAAAGCTCTATACATGTAGGTTTGATGAAAAATTTCTGTCGGAAATTATGTACTATTGTAAAGCATTAATGTAATTTGAAGTACTTGGTAAACTTGTAAACCTACACTGAGGCAAATAAACTTAAGAATTTCATAAGGCTCGACTTATGAACGACACATTTGAATTTCATAAGTGTGACTTATGAATTATTTTCGTCTAGCATGAGGTAGCTCTTATACGCCTTTAACTTTTTCATTTTCCAAAGAGTTGAAAGACGAGAGGTCGACACAAGGGGCCTCTCAACGTAATCTCAACGTCCATGGTTAGGTTCCACTCTGCTCCGTTTTATTATTTTCTTACCAACATTATTTTTCAATTAATGCCGATTTCTTGTAGCTAAAATTCATAGGTAGGTTTCTGTTGATTTCTTACGTTCTTTTGCCTCAGTGTAGAGGTTGAAGGGCTTCAGACGTACATATAACTTAATAAGGTGTCCTATGGACTGTACTCAAAAAAGTGAATTTTACTAGCTTTCATTTGGTGTTTTGGCGATTTTAGGCTTCCCTACTCTTTGCTTTAGTGAGGCTTAGGGCGCGTTCTGCCAGGTTGGTCAAGACAGATTTCATGTGTGAGTAAGTGATTGTTATGTGCAATTCACTTTAAAAGGTGCGTTTCATATTTCACCACATGTATTTCCAAAGAGCCTAAATGAAATGTGGCGCTTGCGAGGATCACTTGAAGGTACGTTATGACAGAACATTGATACTATTTGCATAAAACCGAAGACATCATATCAAGAAGACTGGCAACTTTGCCATAATCCAAGCGACAACTACAGGAGCGCTGCACTTGAGCGAAGGTGAAGGAACGCATAGACAAATTAGCAAATACACAATCTTTTCTTCTGAGGATGTAATCTTTGCTATCAAATTGGGTTCTTTAATTTAGAAAAAAAATATCGGTATTTATAGATGATCTGAAAAAGCTTCGTTTTCTGAGCACAACGATATTTTTTCCGACTCCATTTACATCCATGTCGATTTTTAAATCAAGATTTAAAGCAAAATAATCATGTTACTGTTTGACACAAGCCTAACAAAATGACAGCTCGTTCCCATACAAAGTACTTTCAAGGGGCGCTAAGGTGGTGATTTTTCCTTATGTAATCACACTTATTTAAAATAGTTCCAGTGCTCCAAAAGTGATGAAATTTTGGATTTCGTTTCCATTTGTAATGCAGATTACGAAAATGCAATAACCTCATTACCCCTAAAGAACCCAATTCGTTCGAAGCATTTACCTTTGAGCGGCAGATGACGAGATTGTATCTGTCTCGTAGCGGTTGTACGAGAATTGTAGAGTAATTGAAGAGTTGCCAGTCTTCTTGATATGTTGTCTTCGATAAAACACAAGTAAATGCTCCCAGAAATCAATTAAGATAAAATATTGAAAAAAACATTCAATATTGCATAGAAATACTTTAAATCATGTTAAATTTAAATGTTCCCTCATTTCACATCCGGTGAACCATTTTGAACGGCCTTACCGTTGTGGTTATATCACAGCATTGCGAATAATGTATATATCTATATCTTTTCCGGCACCATGGAGTCAACAAAGTAAAAGTGAAAGAAGAGCTGCAAAATGGAGCACATGCGATACGACAATGGAGTGATGCTCGTTAAGAAAATACGTCGAAATGTCATAGAACCCATCAGCAATAACATGGGAGACTAGTAGCGACTAGCAGTGATTCAGAGAAGGACAACGGGTTCATAAATAGGCACGAAAATTGGACAGAAGGCTGAAGGAACAGCGAAAGTTGGTGAGATCGTTTTTTAATTTTTAATTTTTATTATTGCTCATAAAACAATGCTGAACCGATTGAAGCGATTTGGAAGTGGGAGGGTGGAAATGCCAACTTCCTGTTGATAATATTTCGTGGATAAAGTGTGGGCTCTTCTCCCGCTCATTGGGGCATCCTCCTGTTTGGGGGCTCGTCTTTTTGACCAATTGTGCGATCATGTTGCTGGAAGGAGATTCTTTACTGTCCCGTAGATGCGTATAGCCGACTTTGCCAATCGATCCACCCAATCCGTTTTTAGCCCTGCATACAGCGATATGTTGAGGACAATTGGAGGTTATTAAGCTTGATCAAGACAGAGATGGGAGCCCACTGCTATTGGACTTAGTTTCCGTGCTACAATGGGTGGTAGACCACTATCATGCTTCATAATGCAAAGCCATTTTTGGCTAGTCTCGACTGATGAAAAGACTCAGTATTTGCAGTGTTTAGAGTCCTTCCTTAGATTCTAGAGCTAGCAGAATCTTGTAAAATGCATACACCTTCCGGAGGATCTACTATTTGTCGCCGACTTCTATCTTGGCTTCCATGTCTCGCTAGCTGTTATTTTCTAACCGTTTCTTACGTTCACAGGTATACATTACCTTTACCCGTTAGTATGTAATCTATGTAATCCTTAAGCACGGGAAATAGTTTTTACAAATACATCAGAAATCATCCACCATATATGGACTATTGTGAAATTTGGCAGACAAACATCACGTCACATCAGGGAACTTCTTAGAAGTCAAGAGCCATTCATTTGATTTCAAAGAACTTCATAGAAGCTCAGGGATCTCAAAGATCTTTAGGATACTTCGTAGAATTTTAAACAACTTCGTGGAAGATTAGGGAACTACGTTGAAATTATGGATTCTTTTAAAAGTGCTGCAAATAGGAGTTCAGTTAACTATGATAATGCTCAGCGAACTTTGTACGACTTCAGTGACCTTCGTAGAAGTGCAGAGAAGTTTGTTGAACTTCAGAACTTTAGAGAAATTTCGAAAATCTTGTAGAAACTCGGAGAACTTCGTTGATGTTCAGGAATCGTTTCTTTAATACCATCGAATTTCGTAAAATTTCAGCAACTTTGTCTATGTTCAGGAAATTTAAGATAAATTCGGAGAAATTCACAGAGCTTCAGAGAGCTTTGTT